AGTATAAATTTTTTAATGTGTTTTTAAATAAGTATACTTGAAAGGAATACATGTTTTGAAATTTTCAAAATTCATAGTGGTTAGCCCATGACCTCGAACAATTTGGTGGACTTTGACGTTACTCTGAGGAGAGGAAAAAACATTCTCAGAACGATTGTTAAGCATTTTCAACACTAAAATTTGGTTAATGGGTCTTTAAATAGATATACTAGAAAATAATAAATTTTTTGAAAATTTGAAAAATTCATAGTGGTTAGCCCATGACCTCGAACAATTTGGTGGACTTTGACGTTACTCTGAGGAGAGGAAAAAACATTCTCAGAACGATTGTTAAGCATTTTCAACACTAAAATTTGGTTAATGGGTTTTTAAATAGATATACTAGAAAATAATAAAATTTTTGAAAATTTCAAAAATTCATAGGGATAATAGTTTTCAACAGTATAATTTGGTTAATGGGTCTTTAAATAGGTATACTATTAAGGATTAATTTCTTTGAAAATTCCGAAAATTCGTAGGGGTTAGCCCACGATTTTAATAAATTTGGTGGATTTTGACTTTATTCTCAGGAGATGACGAAACATTTTAAAAATGATTGTTAAGCACTTTTAACACTATAACCTTGTTAATGAGTCTTTAAATAAATATACTTGCAAAGAATACATGTTTTGAAATTTTCAAAAATTCATAGTGGTTAGACCACAACCTCAAAATATTTGGTGGATTTGGACGTTTTTCTCTAGAGAGGACGAAACATTTTCAAAACGATTTTTATGCAGTTTAACACAATAAATTGGTTAATGGGTCTTTAAATAATTATACCAGCAAGGAATACATGTTTTGAAATTTTCAAAATTCCTAGTGGTTAGCCCACGACCTCAAAAAATTTGGTGGATTTTGACGTTATTCTCAAGAGAGAACGAAATATTTTCAAAATGATTGTTAAGCATTTCAACACTATAATTTGGCTAATGGATATTTAAATAGGTATACTAGCAAGGAATAATTTTTTTGAAAACTTCGAAATTCATAGTGGTTTGCCACGTTTCATAAAATTTGGTAGATTTTGACGTTATTCTCAGAAGATGACGAAACATTTTCAAAATGATTGTTAAGCAGTTTTAACACTATAGCTTGTTTAATGGGTCTTTAAATAAGTATACTTGCAACGAATACATGCTTTGAAATTTTCAAACATTCATACAGGTTTGCCCGCGACCTCGAAAAATTTGTTTTTTTTTACGTTATTTTTGGGAGAGAACGTATTTTCAAAAGGATTGTTAAGCATTTTAAACACTATAATTTTGTTAATGGATCTTTAAATAGGTTTATTAGCAAAGAATTGTTTTTTAAAAATTTCAAAAGTTTATTGGGGTTAGTTCACGATTTCAAAAAAAAATAGGTGGATTTTGACGTTATCCCTAGAAGACGACGAAACATTTTCAAAATAAATGTTAAGCAGTTTTAACAAGATAAAATTGTTAATGGATCTTTAAATAAGTATACTTGCAAGGAATACAAGTTTTGAAATTTTCAAAAATTCATAGTGGTTAGCCCACTACCTCGAAAATTTTGCTGGATTTTGACGTTATTCTGAGGAGAGGAAGAAACATTTCAAAATGATTGTTAAGTATTTTAAACAGTAAAATTTGGTTAATGGGTCTTTAAATAGATATACTAGTTTCGATGTCAAAAAACTAGATATACTAGAAAGGAATACATTTTTTGAAAATTTCAAAAATTCATAGGGGTTAGCCCATGATTTTTTTTAAAAAAATGGTGGATTTTGACGTTATTCTCACGAGACGACGAAATATTTTTAAAATGATTGTTAAGCAGTTTTAACACTATAATCTGGCTAATGGATCTTTAAATAAGTATACTTGCAAGGAATACATGTTTTGAAATTTTCAAAAATTCACAGTGGTTAGCGCACGACCTCAAAAATTTGGTGGATTTTGACGTTATTCTCAGAAGAGGACGAAACATTTTTCAAATGATTGTTAAGTATTTTCAACACTATAATTTGGTTAATGTGTCTTTGAAAAGGTATACTAGCAAGGAATAAATTTTCTTGATAATTTCAAAATTTATAGGGGTTAACCCACGATTTCAAAAAGTTTGGTGGATTTTGACTTTATCCTCACGAGACGACGAAACATTTTCAAAATGATTGTTAAGCAGATTTAACACTATAACTTGGTTATTGAGTCTTTAAATAAGTATACTTGCAAGGAATATATGTTTTCAGAATTTTCAAAAATTCATAGTGGTTTGTCCACGACTTTAAAAATTTTTGTGGATTTTGACGTTATTCTCAGGAGAGAACAAAGCATTTTCAAAACGATTGTTAAGCATTTTCGACACTATAATTTGGTTAATGTATTTTTAAATAGGTATATTAGAGATAGGTGAGAGTGTAACTAGGAACTGTAGATTCCAATCTTATGTTGCTAGAGGTGGTTCTCGGTGGTTACAATCTTCTATTTTGGAGGAAGCATGAGGAGCATGATGCATCTTGGCTGGGAGATGATACCACAAACACCGTTTCATATAATACTAAGGGGTTATGACTTCTGACTTTTTTTTCTAAATCTAACTTGCCAAGTCAACATTAAATTGGGGAATAGATATTACAAATAGTTTGAGAATTAAAAACCTTTTTCCCTATACTAGAAAGGAATAATTTTTTTAAATAACTTTCAAAACTTCATATGGATTGTTAGTCTACGACTTCAAAAAAATTGGTGGATTTTAACGTTATCTTCAACAGACGATAAAAAAATTTCAAAACGACTATTTAGCAGTTTCAACTATATAAGTTGGTTAATGGATTAAAGTCCACGACCTCTAAAATTTGGTGGATTTTGAGGTTATTCTTAAGAGAGGATGGAACATTTTCATAACGATTGTTAAACAGATTCAACACTATAATTTGATTATTTTATATATTTAAATATGTATAATAGCAAGGAATACATGTTTTGAAATTTTCAAATATTCATAAAGATTTGTCCACGGCGTAGAAAAATTTGGTGTATTTTATTGTTATACTCAAGAGACGGTGAAACATTTTCAAAATAATTTTGAAGTATTTTTAACACTATAATTAGGTTTAATAGACATTTAAATAAGTATAATAGAAAAGAAAACATGTTTCGCAAATTTCAAAATATTTTAACCCACTACTTTGAAAAATTTGGACATTATTCTTAGAAGAGCACGAAACATTTTCAAAACAATTGCTCAGCATTTCAAACTATAATTTAGTTAATAGATTTTTAATTATATATACTAGCAATAAATGCTTATTTTATTCGAGGACTAAAAAAAAGGGAAATTGAGCTGTATAGCTACAAAACAAAGCATAATTAAATATCTAACCAAAAAAAAAAACACTTTCACTATTTCTATAATATATACTATATTGCCCTTCGTATCCGGTTGATCAAATATCAAAATATCTTCTTCTTCTTTGTTTACCAACCTACCTACCATCACTCTTCTTCCATCTCTATCTCCTTGTCATCCATCACCGTATCATCACCATTTATACTGCGTTTTATATTTATCATCATCTCTCTTTAGACACTTTTTTTTTTCTATAATCTATATTTATTTTTTTATAATGTATATCACTTCATTCATATTCACCTTCATCAATGATTCACCATCACCATAACCACCACAACCATTTCCAAATCCTAAATCTTCATTTCTGAAATCTACAGACCATGACAGTGTTACGGTCAAGGCGTCCTTGTAAATTCTCGGTTGTACTTTGCCATTTGAACAGTCTGTACTATGTTATTTCGTTACTATTCTATTTTAATAATGTTTCATATTATGTACTATGTAGATAATTTGATATTTGGATTTGAGTTTATATTTCTTTTTAGGGTTTAATGATTAATGTTTTGGGTTTAATTTATAGAAGATTTGGGTTGACATTGGGATAATCATTACTTACTTTCTTGCTACATAGACATTTCAAAATTTGAAATAATATGTACTATACCATTTTGTTTGTTACTATTCTATTTTTATAATGTTTTTGTTATATTCTATGTGCGTATTTTGATATTTGGGTTAGAGTTTATATTTTCTTTTACGGTTTAGTGATTAGTGTTTTAGGTTTGGTTTATGAAATGTTTAGGTTGGCGATGAAGGTAAATCCTATAATTATAGACTAATATGAACTATACCATTTAACATGTTCTATTCTATTTATATAATATTACCATAATCACTATCGTGGATGCTATAGACACCACCACTCTTACATCTTCCATCTCCACCACTTATTTTCCATCACGAACGATATTCTCATCACAAATTTCACACTGTGTTTTCCATTTATTATATCTTTAATCACAACTTTTTTTTATAATCAATATCTTTTTTCGGGTTTATATTTTTTTTAAGGGTTTAGTGATTAGTATTTCAGGTTTATTTTAATGGAAGGTTTGGGTTAACTTTGGAATAAGCATTACCTCATTCTATGTAATAGTAAACATTTCAAAACTTGAACATTTTTCTATACTATGTTATTTCGTTTGTTACTATTTTATTTTGATTATGCTTCCTAATATGTATTATGTACATATTTTGATATTTGGGTTAGGGTTTATATTTTCTCTTAGGGTTTAGTGATTAGTGTTTTGAGTTTAGTTTATAGAAGGTTTGGGTGAATATTGGGTAAGCATTACCTTATTCCCTATAATTATAGACATTTCAAAATTTGAACAAAATGTACTATATTATTTGTTACTATTCTATTTGCATACTATTAATATGAACTATTCTATTTAACATGTTATTCTATTTAATTTGTTTATCTTCTTCCGTAACATTATCTCTTTCTCTGATCATGGCAGTCATAATAATCCTTATAAAAGATCACTGCTTCATTTGGAGTGACAACCCATGTTTCACCACTATTCACACTTACTGTTGCAATAGCCATTTATCACTGTTGCGGTGCCGTAATCACCAGCTTCATTTCAATTTCTTTATAAATTTATGGATCACTATTTTTTTGTATTACTGGCAACCGAGTAAAAAAAAAGGACAAAACCGGGAAAAAATAGCACAAATGCTATGAGATCTAATAATGTCACAATCAATGCTATATTCTTAATTTTGTTCACAAATATGTCTATTTGGCCAATAAGCCCTAAAAAAAATTCATAGGACAATTTTTTCTTTTTTTATTTTATTTATATAATATAAAAGGTATGGTAAATCGTAAGTCTCACCAAAACCCACCATTTTCCGGTTATTCAAAGTCATCGGTTCGCACTACACCATGAGTGACCTCCCTCCATACCCGCCGCTCGATCCCACCACTTACGACCTCATCATCGTCGGCACCGGAATCTCCGAATCAATCCTCTCCGCCGCCGCCGCCTCCTCCTCCTCAAACACCTCAGTTCTCCACCTCGACCCCAACCCCTTCTACGGCTCCCACTTCGCATCCCTCTCCCTCCCCGATCTCACTTCCTTCCTCCACTCCTCCTCCTCCCTCTCTCCTCCACCACCTCCTTCATCACACGATCACAACTTCCTCTCCGTGAATCTCGTCAACCGATCCTTATACTCCTCCGTCGAGATCACAACCTTCGACTCCTCGATCCACGAAGATCACGACTCGAGGAAGTTCAACGTTGACTTGTGTGGTCCTAGGGTTAACTTCTGCGCGGATGAATCGATTAACTTAATGTTGAAATCGGGATCTAATAATTACGTTGAGTTTAAGAGCGTTGATGCGAGCTTCGTTGGTGACTCGAGTGGAGAGTTACGGAATGTTCCGGATTCGAGAAGTGCGATTTTTAAGGATAAGAGTTTGGATCTGATGGAGAAGAAGGAGTTGATGACGTTTTTTAAACTTGTTCAAGCTCACTTGGCTGACGTGGCGACGGTTAGGATTAATGAGGAGGATTTGGAGAGTCCGTTTATTGAGTTCTTGGATAAGATGGAGTTGCCTCCCAAAATTAAATCGTATAATCACTTTTTTTTTTCTTTAGAGCTTTTGCAGGACTTAAATAATTAGTAAAGTTTCTATAGTAATTTTTAAACAATTTAGTTACAAAAAAAAAAAAAAAATTAACAATTTAGAGGATTTTATGTTTTTGTAATTTTTTTCAAAATTTTTGGGAGTTATAAGATAATGTTTCACTTAGCTATACACATACTGGTTTTGAGTTTTTGTTTCTAAAGAAATTGGTTTTTGAGATGATAAGGCTTTTTTTGTTTGTTTCTTGTGTGTAGGATCATTTTGTATGGCATTGCGATGTTAGATTATGATCAAGAGAATGAGGAAGCTTGTGGAGGTTTACTCAAGACTAGAGAAGGGATAGCTCGATTGGCTTTGTACATTACATCTATTGGCAGGTCTCATTCGTAGTTCTTGTGTTTTTTTGTTTGGGTCTTTTTACATTCATTTACTTTGGTGTCATTAAGGTTTTTTAAATGGTTTTTTTTCTTTAGGTTTTCAAATGCACTTGGGGCGTTGATATATCCTATTTATGGACAAGGAGAGATTCCACAAGGCTTTTGTCGTAGAGCTGCCGTCAAAGGATGCATCTATGTATGTTTGGAACAGTTTGGTTTGTGATATACTGTGTTGCTATGGTATTTGTTACTTATATGGTTTTTCATTGTATGCACAGGTTCTCCGGATGCCTATTACTGCTCTGCTTTTAGACAAGGCAAGTGAGTTGATTTTTGTTGTAACCTAAGATATGTTTAGCTGGTTTGCTTAATAGCTGATTCTTTCTTGATTATTTTTTGAAGGAAACTGGGGGTTACAAAGGGGTTAGACTAGCTACGGGTCAAGAGATATTCAGTCAAAAGTTGATTTTGGATCCATGTATTACTGTTGAATCAAAGTCAATGTCGTCATTGACTGATCAGCAGAAAGAAACTCTTCGTGTTATTATCCCAAAGGCGATAAGCAGTAATGGGAAAATAGCTAGAGGAATTTGTATCATTAGAGGTTCTGTGAAAGCTGATGTATCAAACGCTCTTGTCGTATATCCACCTAAATGTAAGATACATTTTGAAGACATACTAGTTACATAAGCCCTGTTCTTTTGTCAACCTGCTGCGGTAGCGTCAGCGGCAACAAAAACAAAGAGCAAAACGGGAATGACGGTGTTATCAAGTGACATTAGTTTAAGACGCAACAGATAATATTACACACGGAGGATGACGCTGAAAATATTGGCGTCATGAGAGACGGCTTGGAGAACACCTGCGATCGTTTCCTGCGTCTGTTTCTATTACCCCCATGCTTATTTTCTTCTCTGTTAAAGCTATTTTGTTGCCGCTGACGCTGCCGCAGTGGGTTGACAAAAGAACAGGGCTATAGTTGTTTATGATATCGTCAGTTTTTTCTTACTGAAAGTTCCTTTTTCCTATTAGCTTTGTTTCCTGAACAGTTAGCTGCGATTCGGGTTCTGCAGCTTGGTAGTGGTTTAGCGGTTTGTCCAGCTGACATGTAAGTTGTGTTTTACTCAAAGATGATTCCTCACATTTTCATTCTGTTTCTTTCCATTTGCTTCACTGAGATAAATACATTTTCTGCTGCAGGCATGTATTATATCTTTCAACTGTGTGTGACAACGATGATCAAGGGAAAACTGCACTGTTATCAGCCATGAGTACTCTCATTAGACCGCAGGTTCCTGAGAGTCTTCAAAGCGATCCTGTAGTTGAGAATGATACTGCTGAAGCAAAACCTGTTGTACTCTGGAGAGCACTGTACGTGCAGGAACTGGTCAAGGTGTGGAATGTTATCATGACTTAGAAATTTCGACCTTGGTAGGCTGGTAATGTCATATCACTAACTCAAAATTTGATTTGGATCAGGGTGAATTTGGAGGTAGTATCAGTTCCGCGTCTAGTCCAGATGGAAATTTGAACTACAATGAGATTGTAAAATCAGCCATAAAGGTTAGTAAAGGCTCCTGACTAAACACCTTTCTCAAATCTCAACAAGTTATATATGATGTTTGATAATGTTATGTAACACGTCTTCATTTTTGTAGCTGTATGAACAACTCATGGGGAGTGGAGAATTATTTAAAGAAGACAACCCGACGGAGGAAAACGATGGAGGTGCTGAAAACGAAGATTGATGAATGATAACATTTTTTTCATTATGTGATGAGTTTATCATATGTTGTCTTTTGACATGTAGTATGTCAATTTTTCACAGTTCTCTTTTCACATGTATTTTGCCATACAGGAAGAAAATACAAGAAGTGCAAATATATAAATTTTGAGAAAAACTTAGATCTTAAAAACACATTTGTAACATAACCAATTAGTCATTTTGTATTTCTGAATAGAGGGATAGAGATGTGATGTTATGCTATGGATTTCTTAGTAACTTTTTTTTGGACAAATGATTTCTTAATTAACTTCAACTTTTCCAAAGTAACAATCCTTGTAATCATAAAGCTAGACTATGTATTTTTAAACGATTGAAAACATAGAAATGACCCAGAAACAGATCGATTATCAAGTCATGACAAAGAGAACTTAAATCTTAAACAGCGTCGCACATAATCACGAATATTTTATACTACTTAGTAACCAACACACACAAAAGACATCAAAACTGTGGAACCCAAGGTTTTGTAGAAATCAGAGTTTTCAGAGGTGTTGGGCCAAATCTTCACCGCTCATCACTTCCAACTGAGTGATGATATCTTGAGACAAAGACTTCACAGACAGATCAACGTCTTCCAGTAGTTCACCCAAGAAAGGAATGGTTTCAGCGAGCAGCACAAGGTACTCTTCTTTCAGATTATCCATCATCTGTTTCACACTCCTCAAACTCAACATCCTCGCACGCAACTTCTCACTCCTTGTTTGCATTAGCACCTGACCAAATATGATTTTTAAGACAAGTTATTTCAGTGTTGTGAGCCATTATGCACATATAACATCGTCTAAAGTAAAAGCTGAGACAAGATCATGTTGTTTACCTCGTGGTTAAGCGGTTTCCAGAGGAGATCAGAGCCAGAGGCTACTGCCATTTGACCAATGCATGAAACCAACAACTCATCAACCTCTTCTACAGATGGTACATGTGGAAGCTCCTTCAAATCAGTTGGCGGTTCAACAACAAGCTGTGACACTATGGGCTTCAATAGCACCTGTGGAGAAAGAAAATAGTTTGTATCAAAATTTTACTAAGGGATAGATGTTTGATCTGTAGACATAAGAAGGTTATAGATAAGTGACCTGGAAGTTATTTGCGTCGAGGAACTTCAAGCTTCCAGTATCATGCGAAAAGCAGTTCTTCAAAGAAGAAAGCACCAACGCCCTAAGATGCCAGGTTTTTGGTGGTAGACTATCATCCGTTTCCTGAATTTTGGCCTTCTTTTTCTTCCTTGTTGGAACTGATGCTCCGGTGGCACTGGTGAGATGCAATACAATACCATCGAGCATGAACTTGAAATACGGTACAAAGATCGACCTGCAGTCCACATCAAGAAAAATTGAAGTTAGTTTTCAAGACATTCCAGAAGTTATGTTAAAGAGGATCACAGCTTCTTGGACGTGATTGTTTTACTCACGTGTGTGCCTCACAGAGTCTATTCACCAGACCATAGAAAGAGATAGATCTCTCCACACTTTTGCTTTCATTCCCAGATCCATCTACAATATCCGACTCTGCCCAATCAATACTTCTGATAAAGAGGGGTTTGAACTCAGACTCAGTTAGCTTCTTTGTGAGTGTAACCGTCGCACTGATTACACTTCTCTCAGCAGCCTCAACGTTCTGAATCGTTGCTGGATTTTGACGTCGAATATCTAGGGCAGCTAAGCATTGGTCAAAAATCTTTGCCTGGTTGCAAACAACAGATGCTCTATCCATTTTTGCGACCAGATTTTCTAGCATATCAAAAGCAATCACCAAACTTGCATCGCCAGAACTAACAGCCTCATCGTATATTCGTAGAAGTGGTTGCAGAGTGAGGCGAACCTGGAAGAAAGGTTATTATTATTGTTAAGATTAGTATCATGCAAATAATTAAAAAAAAAAAAAAGCAGATTCATGTAACTATTTGAAGAACTCACTGGTATTTTTTCAGTAAGAAGCCGCCTAATGGCATTGGCCTTGGATTTAAGGTTCTTGTCGAAGTCAGAAACATATTCACGATGCAGCACCATGAGCCTAATGATATCCCCAAGATGAGGGTTTAGGAAACCTCCAAGTTTTTCAATCACTGCTTCCAAAGTGACTAGAACAGACAGCATAAGCAACTGTTCCTCAGCCGTTGCGTTTCCAGTTGATACAGATGATACTTCGCGCGATTGTTGTACCAGATTTTTCATTATGCGTGGAAGTTCAACAAGCGCCTTTGGGCCAAGAACATTAATCAACGCACCAGTTGTACGAAGACAGCTTGAAGAAACTCCCAGATTCTTTGAGCTGATGCCTTCTGCAACAGATGCAAGACACTTGCTGAAGATCGGATGACCAGAGGGAAGCCTGCTAGCCAAAACTTCCAGTGTAGATATGGCAGCTCGTTTAGCTGGAACACCTGACTCATCATCTGTCTCAACAATTACATTGACGATTTCCTCACACATCTTCCCGAAAGCTTCAACAGCCGCCTCGTCCAGGTTCAACCAAGGGTTTCCTCTTTTCTGATTGGGGAGCTTCCTCTTGTGTTTCAGTTTAGAAGTAGAGGAGTCCTTAGCTCTCGCACTTATAAGCCCAAGTACCTGCATTTAATAGCATATCAAAGAACGCCATTTAGCCAAGGAAGTATTATGTGCTTTCCCAAGGGGATACGCATGGAAAATATGTTCACTAATTACTACGAAAAAATAATTTTATGTTATTGCTCTAGTACCCAAGAAAATTATAAACGGTAATAATGTATACCTTTTTCGTCCCATTACGATCTGACTGCTGTTTAAGCAAACTAGTAACAACTTTGAAATATATAGACAGATCCATGACTCCTGAAACAGTCATCAAGACATCATGTATACGCTTTCTGATTTCCTTTCTAACCGCAGAAGTCACATCTTTCTCCTTTGTGGAATCAACAGCTTGCAGGAGAAGTATACAACCCTTCATAAGCTCTTGCAGTTCTTGCTGAAAATTTAACAAAACGCATTTACTAAACATGGACATTTAAGAAAGCATACAGACGGAGAAACAAGGTGATAAAAGCTATCAATTTATATACAGAAGTATAGTAACAAGAATTTGAATTAAAATAGAAGTAGGAAGCTGGTTTACCTGAATGCCAACTGAAACATTGTTTCTTGGTTCAAGTGACACTGCAAATGCAAATTCTGGGTCTTGCAATTTCTGGAATATAAATTCTAAGACGAGCCGCATCTGAAATAAGCATTCTACACTAGTACTGTCTTTGCTGATAGTCTGAAGAAGCTTGACCAGGGATGAAAGCCATGTTGAAGAAGTATATTGTACGCATATTTCCACGGCAAAGGCATACTCCCACTCCCTCTTAATATCGGCTAGAAAACTATCCGAATTCTGGACATTACCAAGCCAAGCCGAGTCTTTCCTTGAAATTAGAGACTTGAACAAGAGGACAAGTAAAGAAGGCAAGCCATTTTGTTCACCAATAACTCTGCAGAACAAAAGAATCCTCATCAGTATTTTCAGAGAATATACTCAGCCTCAAATTCAATTATGTATCTACACATTACCTCAGCAGGTAAGCTACAATGGAACGCCTTCTATGCTCAACAATATCAGGCAACACTTTTACAAAAATCTGAAAAATCAAATTAGTAAAAAGATAAATCAATCCACAATCGGTGTAACATTTGATGTACTTCATTAAGGAAAAAAAGAAACATCACGAAAAGGTTACCTCCAGCAACTGCTCCTCACTCTTAGTCTTAGACAGCCAAAATGGAATAACCGATGAAATAAACTCCTCAAAGATTGACTTCGAGTGGCTATCAATCTACAAATAAAAAAAAGTGAGGAAGTAGTTGTTAGGGAGGAGTTTAGTCACCGTCAAAACATCAGGGAGAAAAATCAAGTGATGAAGATGACATTGAGACAAGACTAAGAAGGCTATGGACTAACAAACCTGTGTCACTGTTGATTCGCCAACCAGTGTAAGTATGCTGATGATATGGTCCAAAACTCTATCTGGGACAATTTTAACTACTGAAGTGAAGAGGGAGAAGATATAGTTCCGTGTGACTCCATCATTTGAGGAATGAGCAAACTCAACCAGCAATTTGACATTGATTTCATTTGTGACGTCATCCTGCTATCAGAAGTAAATTAGGAGGAAGAGAATAAGCAAAAATATCATTAATCAACCCCATACAAAAAGCTAAACCGTACCTTCAAAGAATTCATATTAGAAGAATCAAAAATATCTTTCAGGAGTAAGAGCACTGTCTGTTGGATGGAAGATATAGATGCATGCGTTATTTCACGAACATCCTGAGGAGGTTGGATTGACGTTTCCTCAGCCGACGAAGCAATTTTCACCCATTCATTAGACATAGATTTTCCTACTAGCTTAAACAAAGGCCCTACAAGGGACTCCCTAAGCAAGAATAAGTAATAAAAAATTAGTAGAGCAACAAAAATTCACAATTGACATGCAAAATAAAAATATATAAACTCAAGATACCTGTAAGCTTGATCTTTCTTTAGAAGCAGCATGTCAAGTAACGAGGCAATGAAACTGAGGGCCTTTTCTCCTCTTAGAAGTTCCCCACCATTTATGTCATCTTCTAGACATGACACTGATTTCTTCTGTTTCTTCTTCTTGCTCAAAGATTCAATAACAAGATTATCCTGCGGAGTGATATGATCAAGGGTATGGATCACCGTTGAACAAGAGATCTGCAATAGCATTGACACTGTTTGGTAAGTATATATCTTTCCATATTGTAAAACTGGATAATATAATATTACATACTGCATACCTTCAGGCGTAAGAAGGCTTCTTTAGCAGCATTTTGTATTCTACCATTTGTACTTCGAAACATTGATACTAGCTTGTTGAAGAAACGAATCTGATCCAGAAAGAGTTGGAAAAGGTTTAGATTATATATAAGTTATGAAGAGTACAATAGTAGTATACTGCATCTATATTTCACTACGTCATTAAGACTGACCTGAACCTCAGTCTTCAATTCAGAATAATACTGATTGTTTAACTTCTCCAAAATTGTAAGACACGGGGAGATAACTACAGGATGTTCTGATGCCACATCAATCTGCAAAAGAAAACATTTGTGACTGGAACAAAAGAAAAAGAATACACACAAGGAAAATATGGGATAATGAAATATTCTTACTTTCAATGCGTTCAGGATATCATCATCAAGAGACTGCCCTTTGAATGATGCTGGACGCATCATGGAGCACTGCCACATCAATAGAAAATCAAAAGCAAAGTTAATAACTGTGGTTCAAGGAAATTTTCCTCGGATGGGAATAGAGATAAAGTGAATGTACCTCTAGAAGAAGGCACAACAAATCGAGCTCAGTGTCTGACATTGAGGTTTGAGGGGGAGTTTTGATGTAGTATTGACTACGTTTATCAAGAAGTTGAGACAATAACTTCACGTTCTCATCACGCAGAAGTGAGAAGCCAAGACCTTTTAGCAGTGATACAAGTCTTAGCTGTAGGAGAAAATGTAAGACTTAGTACTTGTTGAAATAGAGATAGAGTAACAAACGATACTTGAACTTCTGAATTGAGAAGAAAGGAAATTAAACAGAAAACATATAGAAGACCCACCTTTCCATAAGTAGGAAGTTCTTGCACACATAATAAGATGACCTTGAGAATGCTTTCTTTTGTGGGTTGATCAAACCTGAAGTTGAAAATCAAGAAAAAACATGAAAGGAGTAAACGAATTGATAAACACATGTGTCCTTAGACAGCTGTTCAGCTCAGCTAAATACCTTTTTTGCAGGTCAACTGGCACTAGTAAGTCATTAGGGGTTGAACTGAGCAACGATGTCAAGTAGGATGGAAGAAACTTATTGTCCGACAATATAAGCCTCCTTTGTTGAACGATCATTCCCAGCAGTTCATCAAAAGAAGTACTACTGATTGCAGCACTCCCTGTTTCAATATTAGAAGGATTAACACAAATGTGTTAGGATAAAACGTAAACACCTGATGCCAAACTAAGATTTACCATTTTTCTTGCTAGAGTCGACATGACACCGTAGGTTGAAGAGTGCTTCAAAGCAATTCATGGCAGCTAATTTAACGTCCTACAGTGTGAAAACACCACAACAGGTTTTAAAAAAGGAGGATAATGCATAGTCCGATATAAATATAGAAAATACAAAACTTCAGGTGTCACCTGATTATCACTTGACATGGCAACCAAAAGTACTGGAAAACTAGAGAATAGCTGGATCAACCATTCACTATTTCCATTGGAGCAAAGATACAAAAAGCATTTGAGGCATTCAACTTGGACCATAGGAGGAACATCTGCAACAAAACACAAAGTTATCATTGATTAGATTCCATAATACCCAAGAATATAAGAATGACAGAAATATCAAAAATAAAAACTAGAACTCTGAGAATGCTAGAAAAGAGTTCTAAACGATTTTATCTGAAAAAGAGATGCTCAAGTGGTTATAACTAGAGGAAATATGGATTTCTTTGCAAACCTTCCCGTGATAGAAGCCGAGTGAGAAACAAAACGGGACAGACTTTGGCTTCTCTCACACGGTAGTGGAGGTGTTCCTTGAAAACATGCTGTGATCGGGTTGTTGCAAAAAAGAAAAACAAGTCTTCGAGTCCGCTACACAACCTTTCGCTAAAAACCTGAACCAAGGAGAAGTCGCACACAAATAGTTGTGAGAATTTGTATTGGTTGAGGAGCAAGATGAAAAGATATTCAATATAACTAAATAATAATCAATCGAGTTGAAAATCACCCACCGAAGTGACATGAGCGGGTTCAAGTTTTATGAATGACTCGATTAACCTCCACCACAAGCAGATCAGAAGCTTTGAGTTCAGTGCAGTAGAATCAGAGGAGTCAAAAATTTCATTTAAGAGTTCTTGGCAGTTGCTTTCCGACAGCTGCATGTAATACACAAATACATCAAAAACTAAGAAGGTAAACTAAGAAAACATCAATCTATATCAGCCAGTAGAACATTATACCTCTTTCAAAGAAAGATCAACTGCAACATCAAGTTCTTCCCATTCCGTCTTCAACACAGGAAAGCAAAGCTCGAAAAGATCCAAAAACTGACTAGGATCTAAATCAAAGGAAAACACAGCCATCAACATAAACTCTTGATAACTTATCATATGAGACAAAAGCTTTTACAGTACTTCAAATTGATAGCCCATAATCATTAAGTATATATAGTTAACACATAAACAATGGACAGAACTTTACCAGGTGAAGAATTCATCTTGTGCAATGACTGCATCAACAACACAAAAAACAATGTCTTTGACAACGGTGCTTCTTGGCAACTGTGAGTAAGCCACTGAATAACGTCACCAGGGTTCATCACAAATGCTTCCACCAGCTTGTTAACAACATCCATGTTCAATGCAGACAGACTTTCGCGGATTGAGGATATGTTTCCGGACATGATATCTGGGAGCTTCTTCTGCCAAAAAAGAAGTTCGTTATTCACAACAAAAAAAAGTATTTTGTGATTTTGTAAATGAAGAATATGCAAATTGTAAACTCATATTTACCATTCCGTCATCAGTAACAAGATTCTTGAAAAGTGGCCAGTTAACGTCCTTCCCCAATGCCAGCACTTGTAGGTTTAAACTCCAAGTCTATTTACAGAAATGATTACAACATAGAGTCTAAGTTAAAATAGTCTTCTTCCATAACTGTATAAAAAAAGAGAACGTGAAAGAACCTTCGGCAGAACTAGGAGAAATGGAAACATTGCAGAGGCGACTTTCTCAGTAGAGTCCGCTTGACTACACAAACTTGAGACAGCAATTTTAAGGGATAAGGCAACGACATCTGCTGCCAGATGAACATTTTGTGATAAACCTACAACAAAAACGGTTGATTCCAGATAAATTAATTGCAAGCTTAGAAAATTGCTACAATAATAAACTCTTGAAGCAATTATATATATTTTACTAGACTATTAAAAGAAATGGGATGAGAACACTACACAGATTTTTCTTTCAGGCATTCCCAAAACCAATTCAGAAGTTCAAAATATGAACAACATAAAGAATGGTGGCCCTAATAAGAACATGGCCTGAGCATTATAAGTTTCTTATAAATGAAATGGTGGACGAGCAGGGGACAAGAAAGCAAGTTAATATCAGAAAGACAGTGCAGTCTAGATCTGACTGATGTTGGCACACTAGAATTTGATCAACGTATTACTGCTAACAGAAACGATTTATAAGATGACATATTGAAGATAAACACACTTTAGAGATATACAAATAAAACTCTAGACGACAACACTAAGACAGGTTAAGAAAAATAGAGAGCACTTTCAATCACCTGATTGGAGAATCCCAGTACAACGTTTCACTACATGAAGCAAAGCATCCAGAAGACTTGAAGAAGTTACTATATTCGGCAACTGATCAAGTGACAAGGCGGCCTGAACAACAGCCAGATCATCATCCCAAAGCTGGCGCACTATAGCATCCTGAATTGTAACAAGGTTCTGTAGACAGTGGCAAAGAATTTGAAGACTACTTAAATACCAAGAAGCGCGTAGTAAGAAGTTACAATATTTGAAATGAATACTCCCACACAGATACCTCTGCTTTAGATATGTCACGATTGAGATCACCGTTTAGACTAGAAAGCGCAGCACAACGTACAGCAGCCTACGATTCATAGCAAGCCCTCAGTCTTGCACAAAAAGGAAACAGAAAGAAATTTCACAAAACTAAGATTAAATTTTATAGAACCTTAGGATGATGGAGCCGGAACCACAATTTTGAATCCGCGAAAGGCAGAGACATGTCTGAATTGCCATCCAGCATACAAGACAACATCTCAACCTTCAAATCTTCTTTCTTCGACAGATCTTTACTATCCTGAAGAAATAATTCGATTCATGAGAAAGATAACTAACAGAAGGCAGAAAATAGATTACTGAAAGTTGGATCACGGACCTCCATAAATTTTTGTACTGCTGCACGTAGTTCAGCAGAATACTTCTTGCTAACGACAACTAGAATTTTCTTGGCCCAGCTCCCTTCAATTAAATTGCAACCAAGGTCGTTATAAAAAGAGAACTGCGAACGAGAGTAAACTCGGTAGTTGACAATTCACTAACCAGATGTAGAAGATGTAAAACCACTTTTGTTCTTCTGATATTGTGTCATACACGTCGAGAAAACCTTGGAGATCAAATGATCAACCAAGTTTTCTACTGGAACACTAGTAATTATAGAAACTAAAGTTTCTAGGCATTGAGCATCAGACGAACTGCAAAAGTAGTCGGTAAGTTAAAACCTGAATACTAACAATAAAGGTACATTGGAAATGTGGTAAAGCAGTGTCAAATACACACCTGTAAAGGAGAAGAGAATCTAGTAAAACTGTCAGGAACTTCTTAATGTTGAACTCTTTGGACAAGCCCAGAAGAACACCAGAGATATCCCTACACAAAATTGAAGCCCTCGTTGGAAAATTAATAATCAGAATACTACTGATAAAGTCGCCAAATAGGGAATACAGTCGATATGTGACTACCTTATTTCCTTTAAAAGGTCCAAAGCTTTCTTTGGGATCAAGTCCACAGACTGCAACTGTAGTTGATCAAGCAAAAAAATTAGTTCAAAAAGACGAACACTGGCCAGTTGTGAGCAGAATGATTGGTAAAAAACAGAAAATGTGTTTAATCTCATAACTAGAAGTTTATAAATCTATACTATATAAAAGTTGAGGCTATAAGCCATTGAGAGCGTACACATAGGATTTAAGTCCTCCAATCGTATAATGACAATTCATTATATTAGTTTATTATTTTTATAAAATGTCATTATTTCCAAATTATATTATATTAAAAACGAAATTAATATTCCATATATAATTTAAATAACAAAATAAATATTAACATTTTACAAATTACATAAAAATGTTAACTGTTATAAAATTAGAAAATCAAAAATAAAAACATATTATTAACAAAAAATTATTGTCTTTTGAGATATACTAAATGTAAAGTATTATTTTTAGAAAATGTCAATGTTTCCAAATTATAATAAAAACGAAATTAATATTCCATATATAATTTAACTAAAAAAATAAATATTAAAATTTTACAACTTACTTAAAAATGTTAACTGCTATAAAAAAATTGAAAAAAATATTTACAAAACATTATTGTCTTTTTAGATATACTAAATATAAAGTATATTTTATACAAAAATAAAATAATAATCTAATAGTAAAACAGTAAAAGTAACAAAATCATCTTACAAAATAAAATAAATTTAATTAAATTTTTTTAAAATATTATTGTTTCGAAATTAGTTTAATTAAAAGTATATTATCTAATAAATTAGGTTATTAATATAAATTATTGGTTTTAAAATGTTAAGATTTCCAAATTTAAATGATAGGATTTCCAAATTTCTCTATATTAACATAAAATGGAATAAATCAAATTATTAATATAAATTATTAGTTTTTAAATTGTCAAGATTTCCAAATTTAAATGTCTAGATTTCCAAAGTTCTGTATATTAACATAAAATAGAATAAAGCAGGTTANTATAAATTATTGGTTTTAAAATGTTAAGATTTCCAAATTTAAATGATAGGATTTCCAAATTTCTCTATATTAACATAAAATGGAATAAATCAAATTATTAATATAAATTATTAGTTTTTAAATTGTCAAGATTTCCAAATTTAAATGTCTAGATTTCCAAAGTTCTGTATATTAACATAAAATAGAATAAAGCAGGTTATTAATATAAATTATTAATTTTTAAAATGTCAAGATTTCCAAATTTTAATGTTAGGATTTCCAAATGTTTGTATATATTTTTATAATATATGAAGTATTGAGTGACTATAAATAATTGTCTAAAGCTCTAAAAGTTTTCAAAATATATGTTGAGAAACAAAGAGATATTGGAAAGAGAAAAGAGATATTGATACAATGGTTGCTTTGACTTCTTCTTTGGTTTTCGATGATCTTAGAAAATGTTTTAATAAGAATGAAATCCTTGCTAGAAGGATTCACTTTTGCGAAGCACGTAACATCAATAAGGCTGGTTTGCTAATGAGTTTCGGGTTATTACTTATCGATCAAAAGGTATGACAAAATTTATTCAGATATTATCTATACTATATAAAAGTTGAGGTTATAAGCCATGAGGGGCGTCCACGTAGAATTTAAGTCCTCCAATCATATCATGACACCTAAGTTTTTTGATTTGTTATTTTTAAAAATGTTAATATTACTAAAGAAAATATGCATAAGGGAAACTTAATAAACTAAAACATTATATATAATTTAATTTTTAAAATTAAAATAACAAATTATCTTAATTTTTATATTTCTGAAAAGTCAATATGACTATAACAACCACATATGATTTAAGTCTTCCAATCATATCATTACACATAAGTTTTTTGATTTGTTATTTTAAAAAATGTTAATGTTACTAAATAAAAAAATAATAATAAATATTGTATAAGGGAAACTTAAAAAAAAATACAATATACATAAGTTAATTTTAACACTTATAAATTTTCGAAATTAATTAAAATAACAAATTATCTCAACTTTATTATTTCTGTAAAAGTCAATATTAAAAAATATTAATTTCAAAACAAAATATAAGTCAATATCAAATATGGCAAACTTACAAAAATAAAACATCATATATAAGTTAACTTAATTTCTAAAATCATTTCGAAAATAACATAAAATAATTAGTCAAATAATTATCTTAATTTTGCTATTTCTTAAAAAATGAATAGTAATATATATATATATATATATATATATAAAATTGAGTTATAAGCCATTGAAAACTTTCACATAGAATTTTTTTAAAAAAAATCTTAGCATGATATATATTTTTTTTATTTGTCATTTTAAAAAATGTTAATGTTGCCAAAAAAATAATTTCAAAATAAAAATTAAATATGTATCAGGTAAACTTATAAAAGTAAAAACATTATATATAAGTTAACTTTACTATATTACAGATTTGTGAAATTAACATTAAAATAACTAATTATTAAAAAAAAAAAAAAAAAACTAATTATCTTAATTTTGATATTTCTTAGAAAAAAATCAATATTAACGAAAATGATCTATTTCAAAATAAAATGTAAATCAGTATCAAAATTTGATAAAACTACAAAAGTAAAAACATCATATATAAGTAAGGTAGTTAACTAAGTATATAGAAGAATTGTAAAAATTAACATAAAGTAAATACCAAAAGAATTTGGCAAATGACTATCTTAATTTTGTTATTTCTAAAAAGGTGAATGGTAACAAAAATCTATACTATAAAAATATGTTAATAAATACAGTTATTCATTAAATATACAAAAAAATCTAAATATTACTTATTTAAATATTAAAATTTTATACAACTTAAAGAGAAAATAAAAAAAATTATATTTATTGAGTACAAAGAAAAATTATATATTATGCTGAAGTTTAATGATTTATTTTGTTAAAAAATATAAAAATGTATGATGAAAATATTATAATGTGCTAACAATTTACATGCATTGAGAAATCTATTTAATATTTTAATATATAGATTAATATTTCCAATAATTATGAATATGTTTACAAACATAATTATTATATTTACAAATACAAATAACTAAATAGCTAATAAGATAACATAATTATAAGAAAACATAAATACTAAATTAAAAATTATATTTTAAATAAGAAAATTATATTACTCAATTAATTTTTTTGTTTAAAATTATTAATATAGACTCGCGCGTAGCGCGAGTATAAAATCTAGTTCATGATATCAAAACAAAGAGGCCCATGAGTCATGATAACTGAGAACAGAAAGTCCATGTACCTGAACCAAATTAATCAATGCCATAAATGACAACCGAAGCCAATGAGGATCAGAAGATTCTTTGGCATGTTCACGAGCAACATCGATGATTGACCTCATAAAGCGTTTGATAAGATTATCATTGAGCGAGGCTCTGTTAGCCAACATGCCAACAACCATTAACGCACCAGCCTAAAAATGAAAATGAAGATGTCATAATGATGATCACACAGACTGAAACAAAATTAATTAAATGACAATAGTTAGCAGATTCCACTTTACAAACCTGCTGATCTAAACATCCTTTCACAGCAGATTGAAGACCAGAGTCGACAAATGGTAAAATGAGCTTCACAAGATCTCCATCAACCTTTGCAACAGAGCCAAGAACTTCGACGACAACAGCTGTAGCGAAGCTGACCACGGGTTTTGAAGGCTGGTACTTCTTAGTCCGAGATCCCTACAACAAACCAAAAAAAATAAGACATCCACTTCAATATATGCGATTCACACAAACACTTTAATGAAATTATTAAAAAAACAGCTACTTACATAGTCACACAAAGCCTCCAAGACCTGCGTATCACGTATACACTGCTGAACAATAACCGACCTAGGAGGTGGAGCACCTGAATTTTTCACCCCATCCAGAAACTTCCACTTGGTGTTTCTGTAAAACAAACGAGAGAAAGGCCTTAGAATAAAGAGGCTTACACTTCTACAACTAACTAATGAAAGTATCATTACTCACCCAGTGGAGATCAGCTGAACAATACGAACAAACGCATGAGTGTCATGATAAGGCAAAGCACATAACACCACATCCTCCACATTGTATACATGAACCCTGTAGAATCCACTAGTTAGTAAAATACAAAGATCACATAATAGATACACAAGGAAGGAAACACATACTTGTATCTTCGTATGAGATACTCAAGTGTCTCCAAGGAAGCACGAAACTGAAGATAACCAGAGAGTAACCGTAGATACGAACTAATAGAAGAATCAATTCGAGCATTCTCTTCCTTACCAAGCAACTCCCTATCGATTTCTCTACTCTTATGACTAAACAAATCGCTTATGAAGTTCTTAAACCTCTCATCTTTGTTTCCAAGCACTTCGAGACCTAAGAATCAACAAACAATTCAATTAGTCACTGTTTGATTGTTTGCTATAAGAGAAGCCCTAGAAATTGAGAGCAAACAAACCTTTGAGCCCTAGCTCGTAGATTGATTCGATGTCGAAATCGGCTGCTTCTTTGGGACTGAAGAGAATCGAAGGACGCGTGTAAGGTCTCTTCGATGGCTCTGTATCGGCTTGAACAACCGCCTTGATGGCTTGTAGCTGGGATGCTAACAAGGAGCTCATGCTCGCTGTTAGGCTTTGTTCTTCGGAGTGTGAGAGAGAGAGAGGGAGAGAGCAAATTCGTGTCGCGGCTAAGAAGAACAATAAACGAAGGTTTAGGGTTTAAGGAGTATTTGTATTTGTAAATAAGATGGAAGTACCTGTGTTTTCGTGAAATCACGTTTTGAGGTGCGATTTTACTTTTAGGTCTGAAAATCACCCCAAGGTTTCAAGATGTAACAAAATAAACCCTTCGTTAGTCTGCCGTTAACGTTTGGTTTTAAATAGAATCTGAAATCTGATAATAGCGTGGATTTCAAGTTTTGGCGTTTTGTGCAAATAATGGGCCTGGGCTTTATCTCATAATAAATTTATAATGGGCCTAACTGACCTCATAAAGCCATGCACTGAAGACGTGTCGTTTTCTTTCATAGGTATCTCAGTACTTGCCGTTCCATCTAGTTAGATTCTTATTAGATTTGTGTATAAAAATAAAATTGGATTTTAAGTTCATTATATTGTCACTTAAAAATTAGAAGTTGAATATAATTATTCTACTCTTTGAAGACGTTTTCTTAAATTCTATTTTGGTATTAAAAATGTAATAAGAGGTGAAAGAAAATTAGTAAAACTTGAATGAGGTTGGAGCTACATCTGAAATAGGCGAAAACAACACAACATCTAGGACTTTACACTAGAACATCGTCCCGTTTTGCCTTTATTTAAATATAACAAACAAAACGGTGTCAAATTTGCGCCAAAAGGTTTGGCAAATCATACAAAGGAAATGAGATTGTTTCTACTCTCTTCCTCTAGTCAAAGGCATAGGCATACTACGCGGGTTGTAGAGCAAGCCCTGACTCATCGGTGTGCTTCACCTTAACTTTCTTTGTCTTCTTTTTCATGATGACAGGCCATATGAGAAGAGCTCGAGCCAGGCGACTCAACGGGTCTTGAAGACCATCCACTTGGTAGTGACCAAACCGCCAGTCTCGGTCAACAAACTGTCTCCCTTGAGGCTTGTCCAGACCATCTTTTAAACAAGGTAAGATCATAAAGTTAAGTTCGAAAATGTATTAAGACACAACTCAAAAGTGGAAGTTGTGACTTTACCTGCGTACATAAGACCATGATTATCAACGCCACGGTAGAATGGTCGTAACTTTCCTGCTTTGGCAGCTTTTTGGAGTTCGTTCCATGCAAGAGACCGATCATTACGAGTGATTTTTCCGCTTTTCACTATCTGGAAGAGTAGCAAAAATAGTGAGGAGATAAGCGATCTGATGATCTCAAGTGTCGTGGTTAACCACAAGGTTTATAATGATTAGACCTTGGTAAAGAGATGGTACGATGGCCGAACGGTTCGTGCAAGATTATTGGCTCGGTCAACTGCCACAAGTCCAAATTTCGGACCATACCCATCAGCCCACTCCCAGTTGTCCGAAATAGTCCAGAATATGTAACCGAGCACTGGAACACCCTGTCATGAAAGCCGCAAACACAGTGAGACAACGCCTTTGTATGATTCAGAGAGTTTCAAAGAAACAAACCTTTAGCATAGCAGCATAAAGGGCAAGGAGGTGCTCAATCATGTAAGGCCGACGAATCACATCCGTTTCATCAGAAACACCATTTTCTGTGACGATGAAAGGAACATTCAAGTGCTTGTATCTCTGGTGGAACATCAACAACACGCGGTAGAGGCCATCAGGGTATACCCCTCTTCCAGATTCACTGTATTCATCAGTCTCCACAAGCTTTAATCCAGCACCACACACTGCTTCCTGATTTTCCACGAGAGAAAGCAATGTTAAGACCTGAAAGCTTTTTTTTTACTACTCTTAGCTTCTTTTACCTGTCCGTAGTAGTTGATGCCTATGAAATCAAGTTTCTCACAAATGCTATCAATATATGAAAACATAGTGAGGGAGTTACTAAAAGTAACGGACCCAACATCAAAGAGTCCATATGGTCGCATAAAGGAGACGTGGTGCGCAACCCCTACCAAAGGTTTTTCCAAGGAGCTGCCAAGTAAGAGTTCGAAGCTAGTAAGACAAATCCATTTGATATTATTTTAAGAAATTAGAAAAAAAGTAGAAAAACTAACGTTTTTGCGTGGATGTAGTCATAGGCCTTTGAGTGAGCAACAGCCATCCAATGTAAGACTCTATGGAACACACCCATTGGTAGAGTAGATGTAGCCATCTCCAGAAAATCAGGTGTGTTACCAGGCCAAGATCCGCACATGTAGGTAAGCATGGCGAAGATATGGGGTTCATTAAATGTAACCCAAGAATCTACCAAATCAAACATGGAGTCCACAACAAGCCTGCCATTGTTAAACAAAAATGGTCAAAAACCTACTTAAATCTTCAATAAAGCTCATTTGAAGAGAAAGATTCACCTAGTGAAGTCCATAAAGTAGTCAACAGTCTTCTCCATTTTCCACCCACCATAATCAGCAGCCCATGGTGGCAATGAATGATGAAAAAGCGTTAGCATCACCTTCATCCCATTTGAACGAACTCTATTTAGTATCCACTTATAGTGTTCAATGGCCTCATAGTCAACCTACAAAACAAAATAAAAATGTACTATTTAATGTAACACCATTAAGTAAGCAAACTTTCTCTACTAGAAACACATTCAGACACAAGGTTTCTTGACTCACTGCTTCCTCAAGCCCTTTGGTTGGCTCTCTTGGCATAATCCTACACCAATCAACTCCCATCCTGAAGACAGTAACGCCAGTGTCTTTAGCTAGGTTTATTTCTTGGTCAGGATCCGACCAAAACTTAAGTCTCTCCTCCCTGAAACAAATAGAAAAATAAAAATATTCGCTTCAACTCTTAAAAACCAATGTTAAAAAAAAAAAATAGCTAGACGGCAATTAGGGGACTATTGATTAGGTTAACTCCTAGATAGATTTTTTTCAAATGCCTAGACCGATTAATTTAAAAATTCTCTACAAAAATTGTTTTGTTTAGGTCAAAGTTACTACCTAGACGCTGACTAAATCTATTTTTAGAACATTAAGACACAACTAAGTGACAAGACACTATCAAAACAAAAGCATTATGAAAGAAGCTCACGCGTGAGGCGTGTTATGCCACGCAGCTACATTCTTAGTAACTGTACTATTATCCGCAACAGTCTTATCATCCTTTCCCTGATTGTTCTTGGCCAACCCTTTCGTTATAGCTCCAACAGCAAGCTTAACCTTCTTCTTCCTCTTCCCCTTTTTATCCTCTTCATCTTCAGCTGAACACGGTGTTTCTTTCGCAAACCGGATCCAAGCATCGTCGAGATCGTCTTCCGCATGAGCAGGTGCAGTAGCTAATCCGAAGAAGAACTTTCCTTCATTGTGTTCTGAAACAAAAAACAGAGATTAGATTCAACAAGGAAGAAGAGAATGAACAGTAATAGTACCGGGGGAAGTGAAGTCGGCGAGAACTTCTTTGGATTCGTCGATTGGAGAGCGGAAGTTCCGGAGGTTCCGGCGACGGAAACGAGAGTAGGAGACTGCGTTGGCGCCGACGGTGATCGTGCCGAGAAGTCCGGCGATTTTAACGAGCAGTGTGAGTATGCTCATTGTTGCCGATGATGATGACCGGCGCGCGGTTAAAGATATAGAACGGGTTTATTTAAGAAAAGCCCATTAAAGGCCCATTTTAACAGCGTGTGTTAACTGTTAAGTGGTTGGTGGTGAACCTTCGTTTGCAACCTTATCGTGTTCGTGTGGGTGGCTTAGCTCCAAAGTCCGTGCACGCCTCTATGTTTATCTGAATACGTTGTCGTATCGTACGATAATATCATCATACATGAATATTTTAACCTTTTTTTTTTTTTTACTTTAAGCTTCTTTACTCTGTTAAATAAAGAAGTTTAAGTTAAAAAATAGTTAAAGACATAATACATTGATGTACTAAAAATATATTTGTTGAAAGTTGATATGAATACTATTTAATTCTGAGTTAAAATGTGTTAATTGAGATATGTGGTTGTAATTTTATATTCGTGGTTGATGTCTGAGCTCAATGGCTTTTACTTTAGTGCTATGTGTAGTTATGTGAGTGGTCCAAACAGATTTTATACTATTGTCTCGACCACTTCAAGGTTCTTTTGGCATTTTATATTATCTTTGTCTCTGGCATCACACTCTTTTGGCAGTTTCAAGTAATAAGAACCAAATCTTACTTTAGTTCCAATCTTTTTATTGGCCGACATAGCCTAGTGTTTCTAATTATTTAATTACTCAATGCAACTAGCCCATTACATTAACTAAATTTTCTTTTTCGGAGATGTATTTTATAATTTACATAGTGTATGAAAGGACATGTACACGTATCTAACTTCTGAATGTGAATCAAAGGTAAAGAAACTGGTTAATGAGTCATGAACACACATGTTGAAAGAAGTGTTTTTAAGACAAAAGAGTCAAGTTATGTTTCAGGGAACTAAGATCTTGGTGGTGTGAAACGCGAACACTTGTTCTTCTTCTTTCCACTGCTTTTGTTGAGACCACAAACACAAGTCTCGAGCAGCTGATAGTCCTCTTGCCAGAACAGGAGCGAGGCTTTCTCAGGTTGTTCTATGAGTTTCTTAGAAGCCAAGAAACCTGCAATAGTCCACGTCTGGTAAAGCCTTGATTGTTTCCCCACGAACCTCCCGCTTCTCGTGTCATAATACTCAGGCCACTGGTCTTCCTTGAGTCTCTTCTCTGCTACAGCCACTGCTTTCTTCGCCAAGTCTAGCTTCCCCATCTTGATACAAGCCAACGTGAACTAACAAAATCAAGGCATTAAAAAAATACCATAAGTTAGATACTATTTTTAAAAAATATTCATTCGACAATACCACAACATTTGAGTTTATGGTTTACTGATTATTGTTTAGGATTTAGTATTTAGGGTGGAGTCTTATAAATTTTTATAAATAATTCTTAAACATTGATAAATGATTTGTTAGTTTAGTCTTTTTTCATCACAAACGTAAGATATTTATGAAAATAGTTTTCTTTTAAAAGTAAACTTGAAAAGTTGTATCAAATTTGTGGTAATTTTTACCAAAAAAAATTAGGTTTCTTGAATCTGAAAAAAAACAGCTACTTAAGAGATGATATTGTTTATTTGTACCTGCCAGAGGAGAGTTGGCCAGGATCCACCGTTATGATATGACCAAGGCCTGCAAAGACAAGTATGAATCAAAGACATGCAGAGGTTTGCAGAGAAGAATAAAAAGAAAACAAGGTAACTTGAAGGGACTTACGTGTTCTTTGGATCAGAGCCAGTGATGATCCTCCACTCCTCTTGCTCTAGAGCAGGAAAACAGATCTTGAGAGGCATGTTAGCAACAAGATCATCCCATTTCTCTTCAATCAACGTCATGACTCCTTCGTTCTGTTCTTGGTCACCAAGAGAGGAGATAACAGCCCAGAGATTTCCAAGTGTAAAGAATCTGAAATCCATATGAGCAGGCTGGAGATTGCCTATGAAGTAACCGCCTCTGTTGGGAATCCAGTCCACAAGCCAAGAAGGGATCTGTTCTGGATATATGTTGAACTTGTTGGTTGCATCTGCTGAATACTCCTCAGTGTTGTAACGATAAATCTCGTTTATCTTCTTGATGTCGACCCAATAGTACTCTCTGATGTGGAAGGATAATGCACTTAGGCGACTGTTGACTGCAGCAACTAAGTTCTTGGTTTCATCGTTTACGTTAAGCATCTCTCTAGCACAGCGGAGAGCTGAGTAGAATAATGCTTGGATTTCAAGTGGATGACCATGAATGCCCATTCTTCTATCAATCATGCATGATCCATCAGTCACAAGAAGAGTAGGGAACATGTCAAAACCGTCAGCTAGACATAGCTTGAGGATCAACTTGATCCCTGTTTGAACATCGATTCTCTCTTGCAAAGTGTAATCACCAGTGAGCTTTCCATAAGCTCTAAGCAATATGATCCACCACAAGCCTTAACCAAAAAAAATACAACCTCAGTAAGAAAAAATTCTCCAATCATATTACTATTGCAATGCTAAAGTGACAACAACAGGATGTGATTGTTTCTCCAAGATAAGTGGAAATGTAACTGAAGCAACCAAAAGGAACTGGAAATTTTAAAAGTTGAGCATAAGGAGTTACCAGAGTCAACAGGGCTAACACGTCCGATAGCTGATTCACCAAAGTCTGCATCTAAACACTCCTCAAACGAGCCATCATTGCCTTCAAGTGGCACAGATTTCACTTTAAAACTCGCTGGCATTAGCCCTGGGCCAGGGCTGTGACAGTCCACTGTTTTCTCCCAGCTCTACAAAACCAAGTAACAGAAAGATCAACTAAAAAACTTCTGCATAGATAAGCAAATCAAATACATTACAGAGGAAAACACTTTTCTAAGACCCATAAACTACATGGGACTCAAGACAGTGATAGAAAACAATCTGATCAATATTAAATTTACAAGAAATAAGATATAAACTTTTCGGGAGATCTGAACAAGTTAGAACTTTTCTAATAACCACAAACTAACAAAGCAGGCAAGGAGAGGCAAATCTTTAGACCAAGTAACAGCATCACTCATTTCAACAACTAATTTACTACAAAAGCAATCAAACTTGTAGGGTCTAAGCAAATTAAAAACACAAGAAGACATACCTGGAACTGCAACGTACATGGGAGAGATTTCTCCAAATCTTTCCTTTCTCCATTAGAGAAGAAAATTCAGTAAACAAAGTAGATAAATTTCCCATTTTTCACAAAATCTGCTAAACTTCCCTAGAATGAAAGATCAAATTCCAATGGCAAATAATGAGAATGCAACCAAGAAAACTAAAACCATTTTGACATGTTGTTAATGCTGGTATAAAAAGACTAACAAATTAAAACAGATTACAAGCAACTTAACATAAACATCTACCAAATGCTCTAAACTATATATATAAAACATTGCCTAAAACCGACTGTATTATGCAGAATCAATCAAAGACAGCTCACGAACAACATTTCAAACAAAAAGGTTCGAGAGAATGTTACCTGCAACTGCAATGTCTGAAGTAGAAAGTTCCTAACAATCTCCCCTTCTCCATCAAGCAAGAAGGCATAAGCCGAAGGAACAAAGTCACGAATAAACACCTGATCATAATTCAACGTCTGCTTATCCCCCGGATCTTTAGCCGCCACAGTCCCCACAGGAAACCCGCAGTAATTCACCACCGCATCACGAAGCAGCTTCCACGCCTCTCTCTCAACCTCACTCTGACTCAAAACCTCTTCTTTAACACTCACATTTCCAAATTTAGCATCTTCATCACTACTTTCCTTTTTCGGTAACTCCTTGAAAACAAGTGGCTTCACAAAGATACTCTCAAAGCTCTTATCTTTATTTACATGAGAACCTAAAGAAGAACTCGACTGGTTCCTAAAGTCGGAAGCTACACGGGGAATTACTAAAACACCCCTCCCTCTTCCTCGTCCTATACTATATCTAGATCCTCCTCTTCCCCAGATAATGGAATCGGAATCATAAAAAGCATTCCGATCCAAACCAATCAGACGGCAATGAACACCAGATCTAATACTTCTGGTATCAATCTTCCTATACTGTAGTTTCGACGAATTGATCAACTTGCTCGACCTCAGAGGAGAAAATCCGAAAAGAGACGAGCTTTTGAAACTAATGAGAAATCTACAACAGGGTTTAATTGCAGAGACACAGATACAGCTCCTGCTGTTCATCATTTCTACAAGAATCTAAATTAAAAATTATCAAACTATACAACTAAATCACCAACAATACACAGCTAAACCAAGTTCTTTACAACAGATTAGCGATTGAAGAAGACGAAATGATCAGAAGAATGTGAATTTTTTTTTAAATGAATGAAGATATTTTGTATTTGTTCTGAATGTTTTGGTGGTAATGGAATCTGAGAGAGTTGTGTCGACGCAAGTGCACTTTATGTTTTTTTTCATATTAATGGTAATTTACTATAATACCCTCACTCACGTGTCTCTCTTTTGTCAATATTGTTAACTGTTTCGAAGTGGGGGTGGGTAACTAATAACGACATTGTAGATATGTGTATGGATCAGATGGATCGGTGGTGGACACGACGAAATTTCGCATTAAATAAATGTGAAGAAATACATAAAAGACAACTTGACTGTCCACATGACACGGTGCTATTTTACGGAACTACCCTTAAACAGCGTCGAGTAAATGGAATACTATTTGGCTGAGTTTCTACGTGGCGGATGTCTATTAGTCAAAGTTTCTAGATATGCGGAGGGAGAAAAAGATCTGTGCGAGCGCGTCTCGTGTCGCCGCGGTCAATTCCGGTTTGCTTTTGTCTGGCGTACAAGCAAAGATCCTTGCTTTGTCACGTCTCACACGCACACTTTTCTTTTCCCACGCGCTATGCTTAAGGACGTGATATTATAACTCTAACCCATTGGACCATATAACTGGGGCCCATTTTAATCTTCGTTTGTAGTGATAAGAAGCCGAATCAAGAAGAAAAGCAAATTATAGTCTATATAAGCCCATTTTTAGCCTATAAAAAATTTAAGCTACTTTCGATCTTGCAATCCAAGAGATGGGCTTCAAAGTATAACTAAGCATGCTAGTGCTTAATGTGTTTATAGGTCTATTGTGCAAGGGTCATACTCTTGTAGTTTTTTTTCTTGAGAAGAAGAAAATATCTTGAAATTATTACTAAATAATTTATAGTTCATGGTTCATAACTTTATCATAATATTTTGAGTTCTTTGTGAACTTAGAAAAAAAAAACTCAAAATATTTTGAGTTCTTGGTTCATTATATTATCACGCTTAATAGCGCGACATACCTATTGGTAGGATAACCTCATTTGATATTTTCTATCTATTCTTTCTTATGACATGTCTATTGGTATGATTTTATGCTTTATTTTGTAATATTTTGTTCATATAGCTTATTAATGATACATAGCGTTAAAGAAAAAAGTAAAAGAAATTAGTGGGACATGCAACTTAGTTTTTTCTTTCTACTGTTATAGAAGTTCATAACTTGAACTTAAAAACATATACTTAGTGAATTACTCACGTACTAGCAGTGCTTACAAAGCAGAAAAGCATACTCAGCTCATACCTATGGCGTGCATTTTATAAATTGTTTGGACTTAATTATTTGTATCACTCGGTGAAGAATTAGAAGATGGGAAAGCTAAGATTTTTTAAAATTATAAGAACTATTTGATTATTTTAGTTTAGATGCCTAACCACGAGAATTGAAGCATGTGGGCTTAGTATTAAACGTTTGTTTTTGAATAACCTAGAATGAGATAGGAACATGTCACTATATAACGTGCATCAGTTTGATTTGTAAATATTAGCTAATACCTTCTTATCCTCAATCCCATATTGTTACTTTAACAATATTTATATCAAACAGAAATGGTGATCTTATACGGTCTCTTTTCAGTTTAGTAGTTTAGATAACTCGCAATTTAAATTATGTATGTTTTGAATGATACTATTATGCAAATAAAACTAATTGAATGTGTTTTTTTTGTTACACCACATTGAATGTGATTTAAAACAACTTTAAAGTATGACGATCAACTGAATTAATAAGCGTAGATACAATTGTAGTATACAACCAACTATGCCCTAATACCATGGAATTTTATCTCTAAAATTACGCTAAACATCATAATCAAAGATCAAAAACCCTACAACCCTTATATATGATAATAGATAACCACAAAGACAGACAAACAAACGAGTGGTTGCTAAGCTATGGAAAATTTCAAGACTGGTATCAATCAACTTACGACGAGACAGACAAAACACAAACATCTTTTATGTCCAAAAGTACCACGGAACCCATAAACCAAATATTTTCCTAGATAGGTAATTATTATGAAATATCAATAAAAAGATATCATTCATGTGTCGTATCAATCAATTATCAATAACATGATTTGGGTAGTCGTTAACGTGCTTAATACTGGTTTGCGTCTCGATCCCTTGCTATATATTCTCTAATAAAATTGATAACTCAGTTGATTTTTTAATTATCACGTGTTAATATGGTTTTTGGCTAGTGCTTACACACTTGTGTGGCTAAAAATGATTTATGCCCATAAAAAGAAAAAGAATGAACTAACGACACTAAAGCAATAAAATGTTAAGCTGTTCTAATAAAGTTTCATAATTATCCATTTATAACACTAGCTTGAAACATAGTGGTTTATATTGATATGATTACTATGCTTTTGTTTTTTTGTAATATGTGTGTGGTTAAAAAAAAACAACTCATATATCGTTTTAGCAGAACGTCTGGCTAATATTTAAACTGATTAATACAATTGAGAAATTGTTTTATCAGAACGTCTTTACTAAACATAAAGTCGTAGAATTCCAACTTGGAATGCAACATGATCTAAAACATTATTTCTGAATGCGTGCTGATAGAACCGGTAAAAATGAGAGTTACATGGAGTAAACTAATTTTTGTATTCTTTAAAGTTAATTTGGCATAGTATTCTTAAAACCATTTCATAAACATGGCTATCTACAGAGAGGATCTCTAAGGGCTATCTACATGGCTATATATATAAACTGTAGATGTTAACTTTTTGAATGGATGTTAAATTTATTTAGATTAAAAAAAACTTTTTACAACAACTATCTCTCTGTTTTAAAATTTTGTAAAATATGAAAATAGAAATGAAAAGAGTTACTCCACATAAACATTGGAAATTGTAAACTTGAATTATATAATAAGCCCACATATATATGATATTAAATTGTATAATTGGTTGAAAAGCCTTTTCTTCAAAACGAGACAGTATCAGAGCATCCACAATGGTGGATTCCATTGTGGAGTCCTTAGGGACTATTTTAGTATTTTTTATTTTTATTGAATAGTTAAGGATTTTTAACAAAATAAGTAGTTCAATGGTGTATTCTTTTTAGGAATCCTTAGGAAAAAAAAAGTTTTTTTTGTTAAACATATGAAATTCGACATAAACTGAAACAATTCTCTTCTATTACTTTCGTCATAAAATTCAACAGAAACAAATTGCTGAGCAGGAATTGTCGATCACATTGGGGTCTATTTAAATAACATAAGCAATAATTCAAATAAATGGCAATGGTTTCTATTGAAACGAACCAGTAACAGCAGAAGATTGCTGAGAAGAGGAACTTGATGGTGCATTAGAAACAGAGTCAGTTGGTGGATAAAACGGTCTGTCTTGATGAGGAGCTTGTGGTGGTGGCGGGTGCATATAGTACTGCTGCATCGATGGAGGTTGATTATGCTGCTGAGATATCACAGCTCAAGGCAGCAATCCACTTTGAGCCACACCAGCTCAACGCTACTGGATCGTTTACACTGCAAAAGTCAAGAACAAGATAAGAAAACAATTCCAATTTATCAAGAATAACACAAGAAAATGAAAAAGACAGTAGTTTGGTTTACCCATAGTAACGGTCTTAATATTCTGCTGAGATAACTCTCCAGTCTTAGGCATCTCATGATGGTAAAGACACTCTTCACCTCTAGTACACTCTCCCCTAATGAAGAAACTACAAACATGTGCTCTGTTCCTCCATCTCTCGTCTACATAACCAAAAAAAAAACTCAATTTTCAACAAGCTATTACAAAAAAAAAGTGAGAGCCTTGAGAGTGATAGAGATACCTTTCGATCATGCTCTTCAACAAAGAACTCTCTGTTGACATCACTCTTTGGGATGAAATCATGAGTACTGATGTTGAGTGTCGTGTCTCAGGCTTGAACGGGAAAACCATACTCAAATTCCAAGAGACAGTCTTGACACACGTTCTTGAGTTCCCAGCCATCGTTTAAACTTTGACGCATGCTAAGATTGCTAAGTGATTAATAGACTGAAAGTTGAAACCATTGTGTTCCAAAAAAAAAAAAGAGACTGAAACAACCATTGTATTCCAGATATATTGTAGTGTGTTTTCTTTACGTTTGAAATTTACAATTTCTTCCCTATATTTTGTGGGTTTAGTGAATTGGATAAATAGATCCTTCGTAATCAATGTTTGAGATAATAAAAATCACAAAGAATGGTTCGGGAAACACATGTGTCAACTTTCAGTCTACTAATTCTAAATTCACTATAAATTATCAAAAGCTAAAGATTCAGGAAACGATCCAAAATCGAATCTGTAAGAGAAGATAGATGAATTTACCATTCGGACATAAGGATTATCACCGAGACAAGAATCGCAGACGATTGGGAAGTCGGAGCATTCCCAGCCATCAGCGTCGTGATCTCTCAGTATTCGATGCGTCATCTTCCTCCTCTAGCTTTTTTGAACTTCGTAGGGCACAAAAACATATTTGCTCAAGTTGCGTTGAAAAAATTGACGCCACGTCAGTAAGGACTGGATCCGTAAAACCCTTATATAAGGATTGTTCCTTATTGAATTGGGCTTTCAAATTAATATTTTATTCTGATTTGCCTAGGATGTTGAGCTAAGGATTTGTAAAAAAGCCCGTTGCGGCTGCTCTCATGCATGTATCATTGGTATATTTAAAGTTTATTCTCTCTTAAGCATCTTCTCTAAGTCTAAATGCGTAGAAAAATACCCAAAAACTAAAGTGAATTCTTCAAATACATTGTATTTCGTCAGTATCAGACTAGATATGGTTTTGTTAATGTATGTAAGAAAGGTAGGATCCAGACGTTGACGCCGACGTGTAGTTCTCTGAAGGCGTTGACCTTGACCATTCAAAAGACTATAGAGTCGGTCCATCGTGATCGTCTTCCCCAACAATGGAATATTATCAACCTTGCCAAATCATCAAGTACCAAGTGGAGCACGAGTAAGAAAGAAACATCCCATGTATCTGAATCTGTTTCTTTTGTCATGTCTCTTCTGAATGGACCGCAACAGAAGTTTGAATAGTAAAGAGTTTTTCTAATCAACGAATGAGACTATATTTCCACGTGACCATTAGTTGATTTTTTTATTTTATTTTGTTCTTATTATTTTGAGATGTACATTAATATGTGGAGTTTTAGTGTCCAGCATCTAAAATTTATTTACCATAAAGTTCGCAACAGCGACCAGAAAAGAAGAAAAAAAAAGTCTCCAATTATAATTGAGATGAGAAGTAACGGGGTGGTTATGCGTATAAGCTAGGGAAACCATAATAAATTTTGAACCAAATCATGATTGTAATAGTAATTTCAGTCGGTGGTATGATAAAATTGTAATATCAACTGCCAGTGTTACTATTAATTTGTTACTTTTGATTTACCTACCACATTTATGGGTCCTCGAAGAAACTTAAACGTGCTAGTTAAGAATGCTTATTAGTTAGCCACATAGGAAATTTAGTTAGAAAAGTTTGCCATATGAAGCCAAAGTAGAAATAATTATTATCTTTATTCTGAAACGACTTATATATTATAGTCCATGCACAGGAATGTAGAATTTGGAATTTCAAATTTTTATTCTATGAGGAACCTAGCACGTTGAGCAAGCCAATCCGTCCAACACACTTTCGACGAAATTCATCTTTATCCACCATGCTTGAAGTTGATGTGTGCAATCCTGCACTCTGTTGTTTCTAAAAATCATAATTTTGGTATGCATCAGAAGAACGAGAATAGATATGCATATTATTCCAATATTAACAGCCAAAGCCAATAAGTATAATAATGACTCATATCATTGGATACACTGAGTATTATTCATTTCTGTCACATTAAATGGAAAATTCTTAAGAGATCCTCAGAATTTTGGACCACTATGGGTCGTGAGATTGATTTGTAGGCTCGGCTTCCTTGCTGGCCACACCACACCGCCAACGAACTTTCCTTCCTTCAGCCGCCGTCACCACCATGCACCATGTTAGGTCCTCTTCTCGATCACGTGCCAATTCCATAAGATGTCTGCAGCATATATAACTTCTGCAATATGTATGTTATATTCGAGTTTAAGAGATATTCTACTCAATGGGAAAAGATGAGGAAAGCGCTATTATTGGCAAAGGAACAAGTTGGTGGTATATAGAAAGAAAACGACGTCAACTACAGATTTTTTTGTTTATTTGTTTGACGGCTACTGCAAAAAAAAAATGAAAAAGAATGGAAATTAAATTTTAATAAATTATTACGAGAGATAGGTCTTATTTTAATATTTACTCATTAAACACAATGAAATGGTGAGAGGTTTTATTTTACCAATAACGTTTTTGTATATATAGTTGTTGTTAATTATCTATCAATCAATTTCAAAATCATCAAAATAAATGATTTTTACCAATAACGTTTTTGTATATATACTAATTATTTTTACATGAATTTTTTTTCACAAATCATAAAATTTATATTTTTTTCCTTTAAAACTTTGAAAAAATAATCGATAAATATACATTCAAAATTTTATTTTACAAAAGAATAATATTATTATAGCATAATAGTATAATATATTGGAATTAGTTTTTGTCAAACAAGTCTTTTTCTTTCATTTTGAGTAATTTTTTTATTTTTATTATAAGTAATTCATGTTTAACGATTAACTATATAAAATATAAAATAAATTTAAGGTGAGAATTTAAAGGTGGAAAATCATTTCGCAAATATATATTATTATAGTTTTTTGGTTTGAAAATTAATATGTATTATGAATTTCAATATTCTATTTTTGATTATATAAAATTAACAATTTTATCTGATTAATATTTGGTTATGTGTGTTTCTTTTGAAATTTTAACTTTTTATTAAATTATATTATTTGATAACAACATAAATATATAGAAATTATCTTTTTATTTTAAATTTTATTTTTTCACCAATAATGTTTTTTTATATGCAGTAGTTGTTGGATCCTACATAATCACACACATTATTCCTTTGGGAGAACTTTATCCCTGTTTAATTTCCTATGAGTTTCAAAGTATCTGAGGGGTGATCACAGAGGAGAGGGATACAGAAGACGTGGTGCTGCTGACGTGTTGCAGAGTAAGGACACCGTTTTGTCTGGATAATGGTGTAACTCCGTACAAAAAATTGCTATTTCCAATAATTAATTAAGTCTTTTGGACATATTTAGTGATGATAAATCATCACTAACAATAAACTTTTCAATGAATGAACTTCAAAGCAATGAAGCTTAGATAAGAGCCAATGAAGTTTCGCTATGTGGTTGTGAGAATAAAACATCCGAATTTTAAATGTATTCTTTTGAACTCAAAGAAAGGCTTTCACACACACTAGCTCCTTTTATTCCCCATATACATGCCCTATAGACATAGTTCCCAAAAGCAACAATACTTGGATCAATTATCCATTTTATAGTACTAAGGTTATTATTATATATCTTATAAAATATTTTTCTGCTATGTTTTGTTTGTTTGTGTCATATCTTGGGTTAAATATTAAACATGGTGGAACCAATTATGAGCTTCCTCGTCCAAAATATTAGTAATTAAATGAATAATGATTTGTATTATGCTTCCATTGAGGAAATCACTCAATCTATAGTGTGAAAACAATTTCAATTATTTTATTCTACAGTATACTCCAACACCGAAGAATTGTTATTAGCTTAAAATAATTCATAAAATAATTGTCTTCCAAACTTATCGATAATCTACAAAATATCATAACAATCCCCCCCCCCAAAAAAAAAAAAAGAAAAAACCAATCATATTGATCAAGCTTGAAACAAAAAAGCTGATCATATATCCTAATATGATATCGTTAACACATTCCTTGTCTTTAATTATTCTCCTTCAACGAATGTCTTTCACACGTATACTTTGTGTTTAATTAAGTGAATAACGTTTCTATTTTAAAACTGTATTCAGAAGTTGCCATTATTGTTGAACTGTTGCTGTAAAAACCATAAGTCTTCATCATTTTCTCCAATGTTCCATAAACTGTCCGAAGAAGAAGTAGTTCCATCAATATTTTCAAACCAATTAAGATTACTCTGCTCCTGCATAGCCGGTAAATCTTCATCTAATAATCCAGAATAATCAAAATAATTATCCGGTAACATTTGTGGAACCACCAATTCTTGATCCGGATAATAGCTATTACCCACTTGACCCGAATAGTATTCCGGGTACGGGTTTGGAGCGCTGTAGTACTCCGTCAAGTCTGACATCGGAGACACTGCCACGTTGGAGTTTTCCGGCTTGATATAATCGTTATTGACTACACCAAATTGTTGTCCCATGCTGTTGTTGTTGTAATCATACGTCATGAATTGATTGTTAGAGGTTGTGATGCTAGATGATGTGGTGGCTGATCCTGTCGTGGTAGTAGTAGTGGTGGTTGCGGCTGTGGCTGAGGCTGATGCAGATTGGATCCTCTCGACGAGCCGAGGCATCCACAAATACTTCATTGTGTCTTTGAATTGCTGACTGTTCACATCGCACTTAAGCTGCTTTGCATGTTTTTGCACTCGTGTTCTCCAATAGTTTTTGATCTCATTGTCAGTTCTTCCCGGCAAGTATTGTGCAATTTTTGACCACCTATTCATTAAGACACAAACCCAAATTAAATTAACTGTTTAAGACAGATTATATACTGTAAGCAAACTATTGTTTTCTTTTCATTTATGTAATTTTTGTTGTATCTACTAACATGGATATAAAAGGCCACATAAGTTGATATTTTCTTCACTTTAAATATTAACGTCGTTATTATATTTTTTTCGTTTCACGTACTTATACCCCAAACTGTAAATTATAGTTCATGAAACGAAACAAAAAAGTATTAGGTTAAAATTTTAAAACATACCGATTTCCCCAACGAGAATGAAGCTCGAGGATCAAGAGTTGTTCTTCGAGGGTAATATTTCCACGGCGGACGTCAGGGCGGAGATAGTTTAACCACCGTAACCTACAGCTTTTACCAGTGCGTTGGAGTCCTGTTTATCGGTAAAATAATATATGATGATTAATTTACCGATCGTTATGTATAGTATGATGATTTCATACGGAAGAAACTTGTGTAAATAAACGTTTCATATTTGGTGAAGTTATATAAAATTCCCCAACAAAACAAAAAAAATGGACAGTACAATGATGCAAAAATCAAATTGTTTAAAATGGTCATTTTCTTCAGCAAGCTTTCTTCCATTGAGTTAGTGCTCTTCCCATATAGATGATGATCATTAATTCGCATTAGTTCCTCTTTCTTTTTCACACTTTTTAATAACCAAATTTGGATATTTTATTCTCAGTTTAGATGGTTGATTATTTAAATTCATTGCTAAAAGATCTCACTGAAAAACCATCAATACTTTATTCATTCGAATGAAAATATTTTTAGAAATAAGGAGAGAAACATGAGAGAGGTATATGCACTTTTAAATTCATACCTATGAAGGGTCTTTTCATCTATGCATATAAGGGAAAGAAACCATTTTCGAAAATTCAAAACAAAAAAATAGTAAAGGTGGGCGATAGAAAAAAACACAATCACACATGGTGATTGAAACATGAAAACGATTGAACATAAAGTGAATAAAACACAATCAATTATGTTATGCTACTTGTCTTTTGTCTCTTTTAGCCAAGAAGATGCTCAAAGAAGTAGAACATACATGTATATATGCAATTTGTATATGTACGTGAAATGAATCATATATACCTGCACAACGAGAAAGGGAGTTCCATCGACCTTCTCCATGAGTAGCAATGTAATTCATGAGCTTAAAATCTTCTTCAGCGGTCCATGGACCTCTTTTCAGGTCCATTTCGTCTTCCATGTTGATGTTCTTTAAGTTTCTTCCTTTCTCATCCATTGATGCACACAAGAGACACACAAATTAAGGAGATTCCTCAGCAAAAAGATAGAGACTTCCTTCTTTTTATTTGGTTTTGTTAAGAGAGAGATTGATATTTTGGAGTTATGTGTAGATAGAGAAAGGATGAGTTTCGAATGAACAAGAAAAAGAGAAGTTGTGGTTTTTATAGAAGAGAAAAGATGATAGTTTCCAATTTTTCTTTTTATTTTTATAATTACTTTGAACATGTGCGACGAAGGGAATAGGCAGCCGTAATATAGGAACTCTGTGGTTTATATTATTGATTTAATTAAGTACTCCTCAATTCTGTTTATAAACTTTTTTTAACTTATTAAGTTCCTGAAATTTAAATATTCATGATGTTTATTAAAAAAATATATTCATAATGTATAAAAAGGGAAACTACCGAAAATAAGTTGTCCACTTGGCTTAACCAATATTCTCGTAGGAAAGGTGGGCTTTCTAGTTCGATCCTACGAATTTTGAACCATTAGATCAATATTATGAAATTGTTTCTTACCGAGGGATTTCACATTTTGAAAAATTCATAAACCGAACGAAACCTTATTAATTACTATATACTATAAAACTATAATTTTATTTGCATTAAGGTATATATGACTATTCCATAAAAAATACTAAAATTTCACAATATTTAGTCAAAAAATTACATTTATTCATAGCAAGATATTTCTTTACCTTTTAGTTCGGTTGAACCAAAGCAATATTTATCACCAAAAATTCTTATCACAGAACTATAGTATGGAATGAATGTGACACATAAAATTGATCTTTTGTAAACTTTATTACATCTTCCTGTGGTGTATAACTGACATCATATGATATATTTTATATTATCATGTAGAGTATATCTATGAGTATCATAAGAGAATTACAATCAAACAATTTAAAATACTAAACAAACATTATATTAAAAAGTAGAAAAATTAAATATTTATTGTTATTGTTTGATCTTTTAATATACAAATAAAATAAAACTATCGTACATAAATATTTTTGATACGATGATAATAAAAACGAACACTGAAAGCATAGCATATTCATTCAAGAGGTTTAGTGAATATCTATAAATAATAAAAATACAAAAGTATGTAGTATTTAAAACTGTTGAGCATTTTAGAACATAAGAATCTTAGCCAAAAATATATTTTGAAAACTCAACAGTTTTTAAATATCACATACAGTATATTACTTTTGAAATATGCACATAGAACTTTCAGTAAAGTGCTACAAGTTTAGAATAAAACTTTGAACAAAAATTTAATAACAACATGCTCTGCACAACTGTTAGTTAATTATGTTAGTATTTGATTTTGTGCAAAAACACGCTCTCGTCTTTAATTAATGGTACTAGAAGTCTAGAAGTAGAAAAAGATGCCGTCCAGTTAAAGTATCAGTTAACTAGTATTAGTATCACTTAAGCTCTTAATTAAGCACTGAGCTTTAAAAGTTGACCCGCTGACTTTCCATCTCTCTGTGTAATAACTATGTTTCCTTTTCTGAATGTGTTTTTAATTTCCTCTTATGTGTTGGGTTTCTGATTATTTCAAACAAGTTGCCAATAGTAATTTAATTTGCTCTACAGCTAATTTTTCCTTTAATTTCTCCACTTCTTATTATTTATGTTCTTTCAAAGAAGTTTAAAAGGAAAAAAGTTTCAGAGTCTCCAGTATTAACATATTCTATTATTTTTCGTAAAGATGAATAAGTAAGAGTGCTATGTATTATAGATTATTATTACTCTGAAATAACTATACCTAAATGATAATAATTACACAGAATATATCTGGAAATACTATATACAATAAAAATTCTGTAAATTAATAATATTAGGACTATGATAGTTTATTAATTTATAGAGTTATTAATTTACATTTTTCTACCATTTACATTAAAATACTCTATCATTTTTAGATTTTTTTTGTTTCAGATAGATTTTTCTAAAATAAAAAATCTATTTGATTATAGTGTATATACATTAGTTATTTTTGTAAAACTTGAAATTTATATTGGCTTTATTTTATTATTTATTGTATAAAATATATTTCCTAGAATTTAATGTGCTTTTAGATATAATTTTATGAAATCTCATCAATATATATTAAGTGTTCAAAAATTAAAATAATCCTATTATAAATATAAAACAAAAAATATTATGGTTGTTTTATACTTATTTAAAAAATGTATACATATACATTATTAATTTATAATTTTAATAGAACCATATAAATATATAGGATTTTTTAGAAATTAATATTTTATTATTCTATTGATTTGTATCATATTTTGAATCAGTCAAATTTACAACCGAATAAATTTATTAATTTATGGTATTTATTAATTTATTGAGTATTAGTTTATATAGTTTAATGTAATTATGCATAAAATGAAAAACATCTATCATAACATGAACTTAATTTGGTTGTAATGCGTGAGTATGAGAAGAAGAAAAACATAGAAATGTCTACTTTTCATGCGTCTTGGCGATCTTTTTCCCAAAGTCTGTAAATATGAAAATGACGAGTTGATATGTATTACTTCAATACACATAACAGCGAACTTTGGTATAATCTCACTTAAGTAATTGAAACCTCTCAAGTCTTCAGGCACAATTGAAATTGGATGACTACTAGAATATCCTAAAATAAAACAGAGGTGATAGCATATTACATATACATAATACATGCAATATTGGCTTGTTAAACTCTTTGTAAGGTTGATGTTCCTTGTTATTTTACTGTAGCATGACTTATTCCAACAAACTTATACGAACTAATCGATAATTATTAAATAGGAGGACCATACTCTAAAAATTCCCCCTCGCAGCCACGCTAGCTCAAAGCAGCTAACACTAATTGTTGTAATTAATTAAATATCATTCATTACACCTCCTTTTTTGTACATTTAGATGCAAAATTTAAACCTACTACTAAACGACGCCGACCTAATTAATAACGCCTCAACTTGTCAACTTGGCAATATATAATTATCTACTCCTTTTGCTTATCAAACTCAATGTTAAAAGTCTTTAAGACATAACAAGCGGTTTATCAAATCGTGCTTGTAAGAAATACAAATTCATTCTTGATACCATGGATTTAGTAGTTTCGTTAAAGACTTAAGAAACTCCCCTTTCCAAAGATAACTATCTACTCGAACGCTGATCCAATACCACAAAATATTAATACAACTAAGAATATTTAGTATATCGCACATTCTGCAATTGATTACCTTCATATTGACAGGAAGGCATCCAAACATTATATATAAATATAAGTTTTAGATGGCACGGGTATCACGTGTTTTCACTATAAAGCGAGTGAAGTGTATGTTACACACTCATTGCTATGAACACACTGAATATAATAGTGAGTGTATATGAAGAAATTATTTGTCTTCGCTCCACACATGTCTTTGTTTTAGGAAACACATCACTCTATTAAAATCACTTCTTAACACTTGATAAAACATAGTTTGTCCAAACAAACACTTGATAAACATAATAGTTATTTTTTTACATAAAAATCTTTTCGCATTTCTTTTCGAACTGTCGTATATAAAAATATGGAAACGTTTTAACTGAATCCTAAAATACTTCCACGTAACAAAAGTTTGGAAAAGTTATGAATGTCCCTTACTGTCAAATTATCACATATGGGCGAATGAAAATTCATAGATTGATTTTTCTTTTAGCAGTTATATCTCAACTTATTAAGAACATTTCTAATTTCACTGCAAATTTACTGTAAAATAAAATGAAAAATACAATCATGAGCAAAGAAGAAAAGCATTACTACATGTATGTAGTAATATATTTTTTTTATTCATTACTGTATTTTCTATTTCATTTTGCAGTAAAATTTGCAGTGGAGTTGAAATACTCTAAAACCTATCTCTGACAAGTGATTGTGATGATATCAATTTATATATCACGAATGTCAATATAAGAAGTTTACGCTATATATCATTTAAGATTTTCTTATTTTGAAAACATTTCTTCGGTGTTATTTTACATGTAAATTGTTTATATTCAATATATAGAACATCATTTTTGAAACTGATATATTTTAACTGGCACTAGTTAAAAAACAAAATTTAAAACCTATTTCAAAACTCCCATTTATGTTTGCTATAGCCATTTTTCGTTAGAACACAACTGAGTTTGGAAAAGTTCATCAAAGCTCAACATAACTTTGCTCGGTCTCCCATTTGGGGTAAGTCGAAACGGAAAACTGTAAAGCACCTTTTAAAGTCTAGATAATATTTTTAATAAAGAGTTATCGTAGCCAATGGATTAAGCATATCAGCCACGTGGCCACGTAAATTCGAAACAAATCTTTTTCTTCCAAGACTTGCAAGTCTTGAACTCGAAGGATAACTGGTTGGTCCATATCATAATCTGATTAATAAAAATAATTAAAATAAAAAGGTAATAATGTGGTATTTGGTTTTCATAAGTTATGTGATTAGGCCAAATTGTGAAACAATAAACAATGTGCCAAAGAATATTTGTGGGCATCATTAGTAGGCACAAATCCAAAGGAACCAGCTAGAACCACACACGCTCACATACATCCATGTAATAGATGTATCGTTTTCTTTTATCACTGAATGTATTAAAACCTCAAAAGGCTTAATTACGCGATTACAATCACAACTATGCTCAAAAGTACTCGTTAAAAACCGGATATATACTCGAAGCTAAAATAATACTACACTTTATTAATTTTTCTACAATTTAACATGCTATATTGTTAAGAATGTCATAAACAAGTCCAATAAATGAATTTTAGGAAGAAAAATGCATTTTCTATAAAACCGAAACAATGTGAACAGATGGAACTGCACATTTGAGGAAGAGATGAAACTATTTTTAACAAAAAAACAAAGAAAATTAGTGAAAACTCATTATTAACAATGTTGATTGATATATCATATAGTTCATCTGTTATAACATGAATATCTAAATATCCTAAATTCCATACAATAGTGGCAGTGAAATATGTGTTGTTTCGATACATTAATAGTTATTTTTTCTTCCGATTATTTTCGCACCTTGCAATCTATTTTGTATTCTTGAATTCCGTATTTATTCGATAACTGGTTTGCTATCCG